CACTCCCCACTGGGGATGTGCCCGCAACCAATGTACATGCCCTTGACCGGAATTGAACCTGGGACCTTTCAGGCCACAGACCGACACTCTATCCACTGAGCCAAACCGGTTTTTGGCAGGATCCTGTTCTTATATTAGAAGCCAAGACAACCTTTTCAGGCATCTTATTCTGACTCTCATGCTCATTGTTTGGCAGAAGTCTTTGAGGGCACATCTTTGTTGTGTGAGTGTGTGCCGCTGTCATAGTTGATTTCCTTCCCTTGTAAATTGGCAGCTCCATGAAGGAAATGGCCATGTCTTCAATGTGTGGACTCCACATGCTCTATACATATACTACATACATACACATATTAAAGTCATGCCTTCAACGTGTGAGCTCCATGCACCAGCCTCTAGCCTCCTCCCAGCCCACAAAGTGCACGCACGCCAGAAGCTTCATGGCGTTCCTAGGACACATTTGCTCCTTTCTTCCTTGGAAGCTGTAGTCAGAGCAACCGTGATGCTGTAGAAAGAGCCCAGAATCAGGTGTTGTTTCCCTTTCCTGAATCTGAGGAGGAGCAGAGGCCAGTAGGGGGTCCAAATCCAAATTAGCCTACTGAGCGCCGGCACTAGAGATTGGCGTCGAAAGCAGCAGCTTCCCTTCTGCACAGAGGGTGGTCCCGTCACTGTCGCTGCCTAGCAAACCCCAAACCTTCGCGGCCTAACAATACTCATCATTCATTTTGCTCATAATTCTGTCCTTTGGGCAGGGGGCCCTTGCCTCTGCTCCACCAAGACCCACTGGGGGAGCTCAACCGGGGCTGGAAAACCCACTTACAGTGGCTCATCCCGTGGCCGGCAGTCAATGCTGGCTGTCCCCAGGAAGTCCAGCTGGGACTGAAAGTCAGGGCCTCCGTTCCTTCCACCTGGGCCTCTTCCTGGGCTCCTCGCAGTGTGGTGCTGGCCTCTGAGAGCAAGCACCACGAATGGGGACCGGGCAGGAGCCGTTGCTTTTATGCCTGGCCTTCTGCAGTCACGTAGCATCTCCCCAGCCATCGTCACCACCCGCCCAGGTCCCGGCTGGGAACGCAGACCCATCGCTCACTGGGAGCTGTGTTTTTAACTGGGATCATCACAGCTGTTATGTCACTGCCTGTCTCCCCTGCTCACATGGGGCATTGCTTTGGATCAGAAATCTCTGTCCCTAGGGTCTCAAGCATCCAGGGTCAGAGAAACTGGATTTTAAATTCTAGCACTGCTACCTAGTGGCTGCTTTGGCTGTAGACTAATGACTTAACCGTGTTAGCATGGATGTGATGGGAAGTCTTGGGCAGCAAACATTGTTATTGCCTATTTTCTGCTCCCAGGAGAGGGCCTGTGGGGTGGGTGTGTGTGTGTGTGTTCACATGTGCATGCATGTGTCTTTGTTAGGGAGCTGTGATCTGTCAGCCCCAGAGCTGCAGCACAAAGTAAATTCACACTTGCTAGAGGTCACGGGTGCGTCTGAGGCACATGGGCCCCATCTCACATGGATTTCTTGCTTGTAGAGCTTTGAGGTTGTCCTCTGGGAAACACAGTCATAGACCTCATCCGTTCAACTGCTGAGTCAGTGATCTCCAGACATTTCTGGATCCAGGTGATGGCCTCGGGTAGCTGTAAGCACAAGCAGAACCTGACCTTTAGCCCTGTGGCCAGAAACACATGCCCAACAAGACTTGATGGACGGGAACATTTGGGATGTGGCTGCCTGGAGAGAGGGTGGCAGCAAAGATCTGCACCCAAAACACCTCACTTTCCTAAAGAAACTAGGGTCACAGGCATGAGTACCACTTAAGAGCAGTCACCCAACTCACCCCCTACAGTAATGAGTTTTCTGTATTTCTGAGTAAGAGAAACTGCTCCAAGGAATGAATTTATGTTTGGTCTTTAAAGTGAACGGGGACATTGATGTTCAGAGCCCCTGGGATACTGGGGTCACAGTGATGGAAGGAGAGCACTGTAAGTGCAGGGTGCTAGTGGGATTGGGAGGCAGTGAGCTGGCCCAGGCCCCCCACAGCCCTAGCCCCATAGAGCTGGCCTGGGCCAGGGCAGGTTGTTTTGTTGTGTCGGGCTCCCGCCTTCTCATCCATAAGGTGAGAGAGTGAGCTATCAGAGAGTACTAATTAAAAGTTTCTTCCAGCCGAGACCGGTTTGGCTCAATGGATAGAGCGTCGGCTTGGGGACTGAAAGGTCCCGGGTTCGATTCCGGTCAAGGGCATGTACCTTGGTTGCAGACATATCACCAGTAGGGGGTGTGCAAGAGGCAGCTGATCGATGACTCTCTCTCATCGATGTTTCTAACTCTCTATCTCTCTCCCTTCCTCTCTGTACAAAATCAATAAAATATATTAAAAAAAAAAAAAAAAAAAAAAGTTCCTTCCAGTCATAAGACAATCCTCTTGAAATTGGAAAAGCTCGTTTCCTGGCAAGATTGCACATTACCGCCCTGTAGGAAGCAGGCTCCCTGAGGGTCAGACTTGGTGTGCTGCGGGTGCTCTTCTCTTGTGTTGTTGAAACATCAGATGCAGAAGCTACATTTCCAAATGCCTGGTTATCGACGGCTGCCAACAAACCACCCCAAAACAGTGGCTGAAGGGAGTAAGTCATTTTATCCACTAACGTTAGGGTTGACTGGGCTCAGCTGGGGGCTCCCACGTGGGGCGTGTTGTGCGTTTGCCATCCAGCCGTGCTGGGCCGGGGTCACACTCGGCTCTTCGTTCTGATGTCTGAGGCCTGGCTGGGACTAGAGCAGCCGAGCCCCCGCTCACTCTCCACGTGGTCTCTGCACTCCCTCCACGCGGCAGCCTCTACATGGGGCTGGGGCCCCCAAGAGGAACCTGCAGAAACTGTGTGACCCGTTCTACCCTGGCCTCGGACATCCTGTGGCGTCACTTCTGCTCCGTTCTGCTCATTGAGGGGGTCACTCTGGTCCACCGAGGTTCAGCGAGAGGGAGGCAGGCTCCATGTCCTGGTGAGAGGAGTGCCAAGAACTTGCAAATGTCACACATGGGGAGGGCCTACGGCTGCTTACCCATGGGGGTGGCTTAGAAGGCTTCTCAGACGCCTTCAGTGGTGCCGTGGGGGTGAGAGGCACTGGAGAAATCGCTGGCAGTGGAAACCTAGTCTAATGGGGAGGGATGCTCTACTTAGAAGAACATGTTTTAAAATATATGTTTTATTGATTTTTTTTTTACAGAGAGGAAGAGAGAGGGAATAGAGAGCTAGAAACGTCGATGAGAGAGAAACATCGACCAGCTGCCTCTTGCACACCCCCTACCGGGGATGTGCCTGCAACCAATGTACATGCCCTTGACCGGAATCGAACCTGGGACCTTTCAGTCCGCAGGCCGACGCTCTATCCACTGAGCCAAACCGGTTTCGGCAGAAGAAGAAGAAGAACATGTTTTAAATCACAAGGAAAATGAGCTAGAACTCTGTTTCTATGTGTAAGGGAAAATGCATCCATGTGTCTTGTATGTATGCGTAAGCAATTTTAAGAGAAAAATTTTTACCTAAGTTAATTAATTAAGCAGTGGGATACCAGGCTCCGGGAAGGGGAGAAAATTAGAGCAGGGATTTCCAGCCCTCTTACTGTACTACTCCAAGTCCCTCCTCCCACCCCTGCTACGGTAGTTGTGAAATAAAGTTCATTGGCTGGGTTGTTCAAAGAACACCCTGTGTGTCCTATAGGGTCCTGAAATGGAGAAAGAAGAACACAGGTAAGAGGGAAGAAGAGTCAAAAGACTGATGATGGAAAATCAGTTCCCAAAAGATTGTGGGTCATTGCATTTGATTGTACCCAGCAGCCCATGGGGTGGGCACTGAGAGAGAGCCAGGCAGCCAGGTTCAACTCCCAGCCCACCATTCCCCAGCTGAGTGGGAGTGGGCTGGTCCTGCCCCTCTCTGTGCTTTTCCTCGGGCACCACAGGGAGCTCATAGCACCCGCCTCACCGGGTTGTTGTGAGGACTGTGCCAGGACAGGCCTCGCCCTGCGAGCAGCACGCGATGTGCAGGAAGCACTCAGTTCATTGTGGCCACGGCTCCCTTCAGTTCCCTCCTTGCCTTTGCCAGATGCAAATGGCATGCCCAATATGGACAGTGGGCACCCGACCAAACAAACAGAAGGAGCAGGGCCTTTTCCTCCCCCTGGGCCCTGGGATCACTGATGCATTGGAATTCTAGGTAGGAGGAGGCCTGCATGGACATCTGGGCTCCCATCCATCTGTGGGTTTCCACCCTGCACCCTCTCATCCTTATCCCGATAGCCTTTAAAAATCAGTTCCACATTTAAAGCATGTCAAGCTAGATTTTAGTCTTCATCGCTCTTATATATTTGGAATTGGAACCTCAGAGGCCATTATGCAAAACAATGCAAATGATATGCAAAGAGGCCCGGAGCCCCGATTGTGGGGAACAGGGTGAGCAGGCCAGCACAAAGGGCCTTGGGTGAAAATTTGCATCTGCCGAGAGGAAGGCCTCACACAGCTACTATGACAGTGTGCTGCCCTTTGCCCTCAGTGGTTAACCTTCGTGCCCAGGAGGAGAGGCGAACTCGGGTCTGATTTCCATGCTGAAGGTGACATGGAGGTTGGAGGTGTTTGGGTACTATGACGTTGTGGTAGTTTTTGTGATGCAAATGGAAAGTTGCTTTGAAATAATAACTAAGATCCAGACTCTGGCCCCCACCAGCTGTGTGTTCTTAGACAAGTCACTTCCCTCCCTGCCTCTGGGAAATGAGGGGGGCAGGCTGGGGACGTGTCAGAGGCATCTGGGGAAGGAAGGCCCAGCCGGCCGTTAGCTGGCTCTGCGCTGGGCTGGGTCTCCTCCTGACAGTACCTGGTGGCACCTCCTTAACAGGCCGGCCTCATGCGGTTAGGGCCGCAGCCGGACCTCGGAGATGCTCCAGGGCCTCCCTTCAGTTCCGGGCTCACAGGTTCTCGGCCTCTCCCGGCCTCTCACCTCTGCCCTCTGTCTCCCTCCAGGCTTCCTCCTGACCTTGGCGCTGACCGAAGCTCTGGCATTTGCTGCCCAGGAACCAACTCCCAGGGAATCTCTTCAAGTCCTGCCTCCCGGCACCATGGTGACCCCACCGCTCAGCTCCACCGGCCGCTCCGCCCTGGTGGCCGCCACCTCCAGGGTGACCTTGAGCCCCCGTCCCGATGGGCCCTTCTCACAGGCCGAAGCCGCCGTGGCAGCAGCAACACCCTCTCCAGAGGGACACCCTCCTGCAAACACCACCTCCACCACCGTGGCCACAGCCACCGCCCACCGCGCCGACGGCCCCCTGAGCACAGGGCCCCTTCCTGTCGCCAGGGCCACCGCCTCCTCCCGCCCAGAGGGCCGCCCCCGGGGAGAGGCTGGGCCCACCATCCCCATGACAAATCTGCCTGCAGCCACCAGCCGCCCCAGCCCAGCGCCCACCCGGGGGGCCACACGCAGGCCCCCCAGACCCGCCGGCTCCACCCGCAGGGGGGCTGGCGCCTCCTCCCGCCCCGCCCTGCCCGCCCTCGGGGGCCCCTCGGGGAGAAAGGAAGGCCCACGGGGCAGGAACCAGAGCTCCGTGCACCTGGGGCAGAAGCAGCCCCCGGCGAGAGCCTTTCCCGTCTTCAGAGGCAACGCCACGGGGTCCGCGGAGCCCGAGCCCTCCACCCGCACCCCCTGGAATCACTCCTCCTCGCCACAGACCCAGACCGTGGCCGCAGCCCCGGCGCCCAGCAGGACCACATGGGCACCGGGCACCACCCCCTCGGAGCGCACGGAAGCCACGCCGGGCCTCAGAGCGGACCAGGGGGACGGTCCGACCCTCACCAGCCCAGGAGGGCAGCCGGACGCCACCACGGACTCAGGCGCCCCCGCCAGCCCGCCCCCCACCCCAGTGCCTTCTCCGCACCCTCGTGGCGCCCCCCACGGCAGCTCCAGCCGCAGTGACTCCGGGCTCGCTGTCACCCCTGGGACCGGCCGGCCTCCGTCCGCCAGCTCGGGGGGCTCCAGAGCCGCCCCGGGGCCCACCCAGGCCGCCTTCGATGCCAGCGTCTCAGCCCCTCCCCAGGGGCTTCCTCAGGGAACATCCTCAGCGACACCCTCCGCCCCGGGGGCCCCGGCTCAGCCCGCCGGGCCCTCGGAAAGCACTGTCTCCCTGTCGGCCGGGGAGGAGGCTGTGGCCGCCGCCAGCATGACCGCCCGGCTGCCCCGTCCTCTGTCCACAGCGGTGTCCACAGCCACAGGGAACTTCCTCAACCGCCTGGTCCCCGCGGGCACCTGGAAGCCGGGCCCCGCCGGGAACGTCTCCCACATGGCCGAGGGGGACGCGCCCCAGCACAGAGCCGCCATCTGCCTGAGCAAGATGGACATTGCCTGGGTGGTCCTGGCCATCAGCGTGCCCATCTCCTCCTGCTGTGAGTGCCTGGCTTTCTCACTCCCCCCCCTCCCTTCCTCTCCCTCCTCCACACCAGCTGCCTGTGCCCAGAACCCCCTGGCCCAGGGTTAGACAGTCCCCACCAGGTGGGTGGCAAAGCTGTTCAGAACCCCTAGGAAGCAGGTGGCATGGCAGGGATCATGGTTCTCCCTGCCCTGGTCCTCGGCTCTGCCAGCCACAGCTCGGTGCCCACTGGTCATACAGGCACCACTCCCAGGGGCAGTTTGCCCTGCACATTGAAGGAAGAAACGCCGAGCTGGGAGCAGTGTGGCTCCCTGGAGGCCCCAGGGTTAGCGAGAGGCAGGCTGGGAGAGAGCCCACAGCGCCTATCTGCCAGGCCAGTGCCCCTGCCATGGCACCACCCGGCCCTCCAGGGTCACATGCGGCTGCCTGTGGTGATGTGGCAGCGAGGAGCCTGGGTGAGACTGGGCACTTGCCAAATCCAGCAGAGCGAGCCCTCACCTCTCCTCCATCCCTTCCACCTTCCTGTCTTCCCTCTCCTCCCACATCTTTTCCCCTCCTCCTGTCTCTCTTCCCCCATGAAAAAAGGGCAGAGCGGCCGTGGTTTTGCAGGAAGCCCTGGCAAACACAGTGCCTGTGGCCACCGGAGGCCTCAGCCACCTGTGGACTGCGCCGTTCGCTCCCCCGTTTTGTGTGTTCACGGAGGTGCGAGCTGTCCACGGCTTCCACGGGCGTTGTGAGAAGGGCTCTCCCCAGGTCACCGGCACTTCCTTGCTGCTACTTCCCCCTCATGCCCAGCCCCGGTGTCTCTGTAGAGAACCTGATGCCGTCACTGAGGACCGAGGGCTTCCTTTCCTTTGTGTCTTCGCCAGGGGCTTGATCCGAGGTTCTCAGTCTCTCTGATAACCTCACAGGAATGCTCACTGACCTCAGCCCCACCCCACCCACCCCGCACAGCCACCATCGGGCCTCCCTCTGAGCCCTCCGGGGGAGGAACCCCGGGTGCTCACTCGTGGGACAGCCCTTCTCCCTAGGTTGTTACCCTGCTCTCTTGGGGGCCAGAATTTGCCTCCTTGTACTTTTCACTCGTTTCCTAAGCCACGCCCTCTGAAACTGCACAGAACCACTCAGTCTACTGGCCCCACCACATTGGAAATGGCTCTCAAGGTCAGTCTTCTCTTTTCCCAGGCTGCTCACCCTGCTCCTGCAGGTGCCGACATGGGCTGCATGGCCCTGGCTGGCCCCCATCACGGCCCCTCCAGTGGCCTCCAGCCTGTCCTGCCCCCCAGAAGGGAGAGGACAGCGTCCCACACGCCTGGCCACGCAGAGGGGCGCGGTGGTCCTTTGTTCAGGCAGCGCATCCTGGCATCCGCGTTGTGGGTTGTGCTGACCGTCACGTCTCAGCCTGGGCTCACCCGCCCTGGAGGAGCCCAGCCCAGAACCTTCACACAGAAGAGCTGTACGGCAGGTCGTCTGGCCATCAGGGCAGGAGTGTGTGCCTTTAACACGGCATGGTTTCTGCTCGGCACTGCGCTCCAGCCACATCTGTCTAATCGGGATTCTGGCTCCTCTCCAGGAGCCGCCGCTCCGGCTCTCTGTCTCCTCCCAGTTGGAAAGCAGAGCAGACCTCCCCTGACAGGGTGAGCAGTCTGTCCGCTCAGGGACCCAGGTCACAGAAAATGAATATATTTGCAGGTTGCAGGTTTTATTGTTTCATTAGGCAGCTTTATTATCGCTCATGGAAACACATGCGTATTCTTTTCTTATTATCCTTAATCCTCGCCCGAGGATATGTTTACTGATTTGAAAGAAAGAGAGAGAAACATCAGTGCGAGAGACATTGATGTGAGAAACATCAATCGATTGCCTCCCATACATACCCAACTAGGGATCGAACCCACAACCAAGGCATGTTCTCTGACTGGGAACTGAAGCCGCAACCCTTTTGGTGCACAGGATGATGTTCTCACCAACCGAGCCACACCAGCCAGCGCCACAGTGTATCCTTAAAACTGGTGGTCTGCTTCTAAAACAGAAGAGTGAGCCCTAGCCGGTTGGCTCAGGGGATAGAGTGTTAGCCTGCAAATAGAAGGATCCCAGGTTCGACTCCGGTCAACGGCGTGCACCTCAGTTGCCGGCTCCTCCCTGGCCTTAATTGAGGTGCATTCAGGAGGCAATCAATTGATGTGTTTTTTTCACATTGATATTTCTGTCTTTCCCTCTCTCTTCCACTATCTCTAAAAACAATGGGAAGATATCCTCAATGAGGATTTAAAAACACACAAAGAATGACAATGAGAAGCTATTACACTATTAGCCAATAAGCAATTAATCATGGTCACAGTAGGAAGTAGCCACATTGGAGACAGCTTTCTGATTTTCCATCCTTCACATGTGCCCAGAGGCTCTAGTTTCCAAAGCGAGTTCCCATTGTTTTTAACCATTCCAGCCTTAAAACAGACTCGCCGGAGGAATGAAATACAGAAACAAACACTCCGGGTGAGGAACACCCCTACAGGTGGGGAGTCCGTCACCAGGTGGAGACTTCTCCAGGGGCCCTGATCACACGTGAGCCCACCCAGGTCTGGTGGTGGAGTCTGTTTGTCTGATAGAACACACTATCTCCCGAGTGCCCGTTGTGTGCCAGGCACTGGGCCAAGCACTGGGCAGTCAGCGATGTGTGCTGTGCTCCCCTGCCCGGAACGCTCTCCCGCCAGCTTCCTCTTTGCCTGGACTGCACAGCAGTAGATCTAGCCTTTGCCCCTACAGCCCACACCTGGGCTTTGCTCTGCTAGTCCTTTTTGCTGTGTGTGCGTGTGAGAGCAGAGCAGATCTTACCGCAAAGCCAGGAGCCCCGTGAGCTGCCTAAGCCGTGCGTAAGCACATCAGCCATGGCACAAGCAAGCACACCGCCTGGCACAACACCTGCAGAATGCTTCTGGCACAGCCTTCAGGCGCTGGGGCTGGGACAGGTACTTGGTCAAGGATGATATGCACCTGTGTTCAAAGCGGACCCTGTATCCCCGTGGACCTCTGACCCCACTTCCTTAGGCGTCTGTCCTGCATTTCCACTCCCCTGAGCTCGCTCACCGAGGCTCCTGCCTCGGCCTGGGCGGCCCTGGCTGCCTGCACACACAGCTGCTGTCCTCAGTCATGGCCCCGACTTCTCAGGGTCATCGTTCGCCTCGGAAGGCCCAGGGGAGAGGAGCATTAAGAGAGAATACTTGTCCCTGCAGGACGCGGTGCCCTTTCAAAGCACAGGTGCGTGTGGATACAGACTGTTTTCACGGCTGCACCCCAGGCCGAGGACTCTGTCTCAGACCTTCCCAACGCCGGCGTTTATCCTGAAGCCCTCTCGGCAGCCCCTCAAGAAGGGCCTCCTCCGTGGCCATTTGACGGGTATCTCGGGCAGTGTGGGTGGAAGGCAGGACCACACATAGATTCCCTCACATCTGGCTTTTCAGTCCAGCCCTGGCCCTGCTTTTTTTTCCACCTTCTAGAAGCCAGACTCCAGATTAGGGGTGTCGAACTCAATCAGAGAAGGGGCCAAAATCTAAAATCCAGCCTAAATCGCGGGCCGAATGGTTTACTGAACAGTCATAAACTGTCATTGTGATGGAAACGCAGCGGAGTGCAGTGATGACAGCGCGGTGCGGGCCACATTGCAAGGCCTGGCGGGACGGATTTGGCCCGCGGGCCTTGTGTTTGACACATGTGCTCCAGATGGCAGGGACCCCTGAGCAGATGGGTGACTTCCCTGCTCTAGCAGAATCGGGGGACAGTCTTAGCAAATCTCAAGCCCGCCAAACAGGGATGTCACCAGTTCCCCTGCCCGCCCAGGTCAGAGCCTGCCGATAGCCAAAGGACAGGTGAGCCTGCCAGAGACTGCCACACAGGGTTTCAGAGGGCTGAGGAGTGGGATGGATGGGATCCAGGCCTCCCTGGGCTGGGCCAGGGGAGCCATGCAGCTCCTGAGCTGGTCTCTGCTGCCACCATTGGGGCGCACGGCCCACCACCTCCCGCCGGAAGCTCTGGGCCTGGTGCTGCATGGACCCTCCCCGGCCTGTCAGCCCTCTGGGTTCTCACCAGCCCAGTTTTGTGTCTCTGCCAGGCTCCCTGGCCTGGCCTGCACAGGCCACGTCCCGTCCTGAGAATGTGGAAGGTGAGGGCAGGAAGCAATGCCAGCTGGGCATGCGTTCATCACCAGCCCGGTGTGCGACCGTGTGTGCCTTGCCCCAGAGCGTCCACTCCCTTCCACCGTACGGTCCGTCCGGAGCATCCATGCAGGGTCCACAAACCACATTTGGTGTGCACAAGGTTGTTCACGGCTGTGTTAGGTTTTCTGAGAATGGTAGTCAGGTCCGAATGTGTGTGTACCTTTTCCCACAGGAGATCAGGGCGAGAAGGAAGAGTGACCTGAGAGGCTTCTGAGCCAGGTGAACAGGGCGGGAGCAGCCTTCGGCAAGGCAGGGCTGTCCAGGCGTGTCCTCAGCTGACCCGCATCATTCCCAGGCTCTCAGCTCTGCTCCGTGCTGCCCAACCAGCGCCCCCTGGTGGGGACCGCCTGGGCTTCCTCAGGCATATTCCCTCGGGCCAGAGTGGGGAGTCAGGCAGTTCGATCCCCAATAAGGGGTTTGCAGAAGGCAGCCGGTCGATGTATCTATCTCTATTCCTCTCCTTTCCTCTCTCCAAAATCAATTTTTTAAATGATTAAAGAAAAGGAAGGAGAGTGGGGGAGGGCTGGAGGAGGAGTCTTGGGCTGTAATGCAGTTTGAAGGGCTAGTGGAGTCCTCGGGCCACGGGGAGTCCCTGTCCTGTAAGAGCAGGCCTGCCCTGGTACCCATCACTGTCCGACGTGGCTGGGAGCAGCCGGGGAGCAGGGCCTTGGCTGTGACGGGTCCCGGGGCAGCAACTGGGCCACCCCCGAGCTGTGCTCCCTCAGCAGGGAATCTGAGCGCAGCATTTTCATGGCTGCCACACCCTCTCCAAAGAGACGCCACCTCCAAGGCCCCTCACAGGGCCTGCATGGAGAAGGTGCCCCAAGCGTGGCAGAGGTCGTGTGGCAGATACGGCTCATCCTGCTGTTAGGATTTGCTGGGCCTTCTCCATCAGGAGGCATGTTTAGCAGGCGTTTGGGAAGGGTGAGTCCTCAGGGAACCAGCATGAGTTCGTTTCCATTTCCTGTCACACAGTGAGCCTGTCCTTGGAACCGTGCCTCCCCCCTCAACTCAGGGCCCAGGGCTCCTCCTCCCTGCCACAGTCTGACAGGTCCGGGGCGATGCCCAGAGCACTTGCTGAGTCCGCCTCCACTTTAGAGCTCGAGGAAGTAGAGATCGTGGCATCCTGGGGAGTCTTCACAGCTGGTGCCTTTGGAGGAGCCAGACAGTTTCTAACTGACCCGGAAGGGGGTGGCTGGCACCTGTGTTTGCACAGAGCTGTGTCTGTGCAAAGCACCTCATGTGCTAAGGCGCGTCCCCTCCAGGGTCCAGGGCAAGACGGGACAGCAGGCATCAACCCGAGGGTCACAGAGTCCTGGGTTCAAGTCCCAGGGACGAGCTGGGTGAGCAGGGCCCATCGTGTCAACACCCAGGAGCCTCTTCTGGACCTGGGGGTGTGGGGGGAGGGGGAGTAACAGCTTCCTTGGCAGCCGCTTTGTGGGTTAAATCGGGCGTAAGGCATCCAAGTCAGCACTGGGGATATGTCAGAGATGCCACACGTCTAAGCTGTACTTTTCTTTCCTGGATGGAAGGCCGGTCGCTGAAAGAGCGAGAGTTCTAAGCCACAGGTGGAGCCGTGGCCTTGAGTCACTCAGCCATGGAGGATGCTGGGAGAACAAGGAGACTCTGTGACTTACGCACGTGTTGTGTGTCAGGCGGCACGCTAGGCATTTGCGTTTGTGGTCTCTAACTTTCCTTACTATCCTCTGAGGCCCCCGGTAACCAGCCTGGTGAAGTGACTCACCTGGTCTAACCCGTGGCAGAGCCAACCTTGACCGCAGGTCTTTGGACTCCAAACCCACGCTCTGTCTGTCACCAGGCCGGCTCCCACTGTGGCAGGTGCCTGAGCGGCCCTGGGAGCCGCTGAGAGAGATGTCGTCAGGATGGGAGCACTGACAACACATTAAGGAGAGAGAGGTGGGGACAGAACCCCCTGCTCCAGCCCTCAGGCCGCACCACCAGGGCCGGATTCCCACAGGATTCAGGGCGGGAGAGGTCAGGGGACAGAATTCTGCAACCTGTGCCGTCCCAGGTTCGCAGCCTGGCTCCAGGGCAGCCTCACCTCCCCCTACCCTGTCTGTGGCTGCCGCCAGCTTGACTCCCCCAGTTATTGCACACCCAGTCCCAGGGGCAGGTGAGAAGCGGGGACAGGGAAGAACAGAGACAGCAGAAACAGGGAGACGGCACCTGGGGACTTGCCCCAGCCCTGCCACTCACACCTGTGACCTGCGGCCAGCCAGCCAGGTGCTCTGGCCATGGCCTTCTCATCTGTGGAGTAAGGGGGTGCCCTAAGTTAGCAGATTTTCAGGCTGTGTACTACAGTTATCTCCCTCTTACACCGCCCCCCCCCCCCCCAATTCCCTTCAACCAGTTGAAGAAAGGACTCTTCAGAAGAAGGGCGGGAAGAAGAGGAAATGCACAAATTTTAAAAAGTCTATACCAGCCAGGCTCAAATCTCTTATAGCTCAGACATTTCTTTCATATTTTTTAAACCTTTTAAGGGGACCCAGAAGAATGATGATCAAAAGAATTAAAGTCTTTCTGATCAAAGCGGATTGGATGGCATGGAAACTTGCCCAATCTCTTGACCTTGTCTGCAGGTCTTTTCAGGTTGAGACGGCAGCTGGGATGAGAGCTGCCGAATTCCTGCATCCGGGAGAATTCCTCCCACAGAGGGCTGGGCGTGGGCCCTGGGGTCGCAGCTGTGTGGGTGCCAGCTTCTGCAGCTGCCCCACACCCTGGCACACACAGGCACCCTGGTGCTGGCCAGTTGGCTGCTGTGGACAGAGATGGTCCTCTGCTGCCCCCTGGTGGCCATTGTCACCAAGGGTCCAGCCTCTGGGGCAGCTCAGCTTGGGGCCCTCTCTCCCCAGCACAGGTCGATGGCACCTCCAGGATGTTGGGTGCATCCTGCTCACCCCTGGCCTGGAGCTTCAGCCACCTTACAGGGCCCGGTGATGGCAAACTGGGGCAGGAGATGCCCAGTCTTCACTATGGGCTTCTCCCCAAGAGGGATCCTGTCACCCTTGTTACTGCGTCACCTGTTCCATGTGGGAGCGCACACAGCCATCCCAGCTCTCCCACCGCAGAAGCCTCCCTGGAGCCCCAGTCACTCTGTCGCCTGGTTCATCAGCAACATCCAAACGTACTCCTTCCTCTCTGGGCCCCGAGGCTCAGAGATTGAACAGATAGGTCGCACGGCAGGCTGTGACACGTAGAGCCCCACCAGGCCCGAATGTGCCGCCTCGGCCTTCAGAGTGTCTTTGTGAGGCAGAATCATGGACAGCGAGCAGCAGACATTGGAGTCCAGGTGTCAGGGTTCACTCTTGGCCGCCTGTGGTGATCAAGGGCTCATCTGACTCTGCCCCCCTCCCCTCACCAGTCCAGCAGAGCCCCTCAGTACACACGTGCCTTCTCTGCAGCCACGCTCTCCTCTCCAAATGAGTGTGGCCTTTTCTTGGAGCAGACTCCAGGAGTGGCACTTAGCACCCACAGATAACTGAAGTTACAGCCCATCCTCTTCACACACACCCCCCCGGCCTGTGGACACAGCTCTGGCATCTCCTAAGTCTCCTCCACACTCACCCCACTCCAGCCACGCCAGTCTTTTCTCTCACATCAAGCCTGTCCCTACCTCAGGCCCTTTGCACATGCTGTTTTCGCTACCTGGAACACACTCTCCCACCGACTTCTGTTTTTAGCTCTCGTTCACCTCCTAGGGAGCCTTCCGTGATGACTAACGTACTCTCTCCCCCAGCTCACCTCCATTGTCTCTCCCCCTTTGCCCTGTCTTATTTTTCTCAACAGTTGTCACTATCTGGATTTACCTTATTCACTCATTGTTTATTACGTATATATTGTCTGACCCCTCTGCAACCTTCCATACGCCCCTAGAAGGGAAGCTTATAAAAGCCAGGACCCTTGTCCTTCTTCCTCCCCAGCACCTGGCACAAGGCACGCAGCATACGTAGGTATTTGCTGAGTGGGCACACGTGGGGATTAACGGCGGTCGTGGCTGCCTGGGTGGCCTTCCCCGCGCTCCTGGGGACTGGCTGTGTCCGTCGGGAATGCTGCTCCGTGCCGGTGCCCCCGCTCTCTAACGTGGGCTCTCTCCGCAGCCGTCCTGCTGACCGTGTGCTGCCTGCGGAGGAAGAGGAAGGCGGCCAACCCCGAGAACAACCTGAGCTACTGGAACAACGCCATCACCATGGACTACTTCAACAAGCACGCCGTGGAGCTGCCGAGGGAGATCCAGTCCCTCGAAACCTCCGAGGTACGGAGCCCAGCCCAGGAGTGCCCCGGGGGTGCTGGCCCCGCTGCCCGGAGCCGCGGGCTCCAGAGAGAGCTGTGTGTGTGCTCCCCTGGCAGCAGCAGCAACAGCAGCACCGGACGCTGCAGCCCTGCCTCGCCTGGGGTCAGGGTCTGCCCTTCAGCGAGAACCCCAGGTGCCTTGCACACATAGCAAAGTTTTGGAGTCACTGTTCCTGAGAACAAGCCAACAAATATTCACAGAGGGAGGACCCATGTTCCTGTCCGGGGACTGTGGAGATGAGAGCTTGCTCTTAAGCGGCCCAGATATCATTGTGCTTGGGTCTGAGCCTCATGCATCATTCACAGACAAAGCAGACTAGGGGAGAGGCAAGAGGTGTTACAGCTGTGGGCACTCAAGGGAAGTCTACACAGAAGACTTAGCAGGTGACCCAGCAAAGGACGGAGCCGAGGCAGGTGGCGAGGGTATGGGGTGCGGCTGAAGGGCATTTGCCCAACACGGACCTGGGCTGGGGACCCAGGTCTCTGACTTGGGCGCTGTGCCCTTTCCACTCCGCAGGGAAGGTGGGTAGAGGCCAGGGTGCAGGATTGGCAGGTGGATGGGCATGGTCTTGGATGGACTTTTGTCGCGGGCAGCAGCAGAGGGTCATTGAAAGTTCTGAGTTTTGTGTTACCTGGTTTTAGGACGAGGCAGAGGCTGGCCCCGCTCTGAGTGTGGGCTGCAAATCCCTGAGCTCTAAACTCCTCCTATTCTCTCTGCAAAATTGGCCCGTGAAAACCGAAGTGGGAAGGCAGTGCTTGTGAGCGTACTGCGGGGAGGCCAGGAGTCTCTCCGGCCCAGAGCACAGGCCGCTGAGCACAGCCAGAGGCTCTGATGCGGAGGCTGCCCATCGACACAAGCTCAGGGTTTCGCACGAAGCTCAGTTTGGGTTCAGAGTGAATTTTATCGGTTTCCCTCCCAGGAGGTCTACTCCCCTCTGTGCTTCAGTGCGGGGTGGGGAATGTCCGGCCCACAGGCCCTACAAGACCCTGGAAATCATTTGTCCAGGGGTTAGGGGTGAGTTAATTAAATATTTGACTAAATATTGCAGGCTGTGTTTCTCCCCCGCCCCCCAAATATATTTTATTGATTTTTTTACAGAGAGGAAGGGAGAGGGATAGAGAGTTGGAAACATCACTGAGAGAGAAACATCGATCAGCTGCCTCCTGCACTCCCCCTGCTGGGGATGTGCCCACAACCAAGGTACATGCCCTTGACCGGAATCGAACCTGGGACCCTTCAGTCTGCAGGCTGACTCTATCCATTGAGTCAAACTGGTCAGGGCCAGGCTGACTTTTAAGTTGATAGTTTTGTAGGACCCGCAAATGATGTTTGGATGCAGGATCCAAATGGCCCCTGGCAGCAGAAAGGTTCCCACCCTGAGCTAGAGCGAAGCTACCATTTGTCCCGCCTCCCTGGGCACGCGTGTGCACCGCAGACTACCCACAGTGGTCATGGTCACAGGGTGTACTCACCGCCTCTTCGCTGCCCACTTAGGAGGCTGTCAGGGGCGTTTGCCCAAGCCCATTCGCGGGTGCCCGCCCCCCCTTAGGGTGGACGAAAGCCTCGGATCACAGGCCCAGGCCATGCGGATGCCCAGGAGGTGCTGGGAAACTTTTCCAAGCTTGTGTTCCTTTCCCTCTTCCTTGCCACCTCCTCCTCCTCCTCTTCTTTCTTACCTTAGTCGCTTCCTAAATAACTTTCTCCCTTTCACGCAGAGAAAAGTCTCTGGTTCCCTGGGCGGGCGCCTGCTTTCTGAGACTGTAAAGGGACAAGCCGGGACCAGCCCCCACAGTCCCTCCGAGCTCAGCCCAAAGCCCCAGAGAAGGGCTCTGCCCACTGACACGCCCCGTCATCCTTACCGAGGGGCTGGCGTGTGTCACCCTCAGGTGGGTGCTCAGGGAATTCCGTCATCAGAGAAGACTTTTCACCAACAAATGGCCTCTCCCTTTTTTCATCTCTTTATTCTCCATAAAGCAGTGCATATTGCTCAAAATTACATGTTTTACTTAAAAAAGAAACTTCAGAGCATTCACTGTGGCCTCCGAGAGAGAAGACATGCAAGCAGGTCTGTCTTAGACCAGTCAGTCCCGGGCCTGCAGCTCGGCCTCTGCCCTGGAACCGCCTGCAGGGCCTGAGGCTCCACCTGTTTAGAACTGGAACAATTGATGCCTTTTCCCCTGAACCAGTTCCCCAGGCTGAGTCAGTACAGCTGTCCTGGCCCACGGGTGCATGCAGCCCTGGGCGGTGCCATCCCGTGGCCCACGGGTGCATGCAGCCCTGGGCGGTGGGGCCACAGCCCTTCAGACGCCTAAGCACTGGAGGGCCTGATCCCACTCCTGGGTGGTGGAGACAGACTGGATTGTTTACTTCTACCTACAGCGCATCCCACAGAGATTCAGACCCTCCGCACATCTAGTTCTGCAAGAAGTGGGGCTCTGGGGGGACTCAGGAAGGGGGCAGTTAGTCCGTAGAGGCTCTGACATGGGGGTGGCAGGGCAGGAAAGAGGTGGACTAGTGTGGGGTGTGTTAGGGAGGAAAAGCAGCAAGGTCTCCCGGAGGTCTATGAGGGAGAGGCAGGAAGAAGAGTCTGTGGCCCCAGTGGACCACAGTTTGCCATCTGGTGTGTGTGTGTGTGTGGAGCATGGTGAGTTCTCTCCGACTTCGACAAGGAGAGCAATACCATCTCAGAAAGCTGAGGTGGGGATGACTCCGGAAGCAGGAAATCTTTTTTGAAGCTGCTGTAAAAACCCGAAAGAGCAGAGAGGGCTCTGCACCTCGGCACTGGCAGGGAAATGGGTGAAAAACGTTTACCCACAATCGGAGGGTCCGTGTCTTTAAGAAGGGCCACCCGGGGAGCCCTCCCAGCTCACGCCCTCTCCTCCCTGTCTCCGAAGGACCAGCTCTCAGAGCCGCGCTCCCCAGCCAACGGCGACTACAGAGACACGGGGATGGTCCTCGTCAACCCCTTCTGCCAGGAAACGCTGTTTGTGGGGAACGACCAGGTATCCGAGATCTGACCGCGGCGCCCTCGCTTTGCCATGCCCTGCCTTTGGGCTCTCCACCCTAAATATACAAATATATATTATAAATATAATCTTTGTGTAACCCCGACTTACAGAGAAACGTTTTCAGCTTTTTCTTTCCTAAGAATTGTCAGCGTCTTTTTTTATAAGTGTGGTTTAAAAAAAAAAACTTTACAGAACGACCCGTGGCTTTATAAAATAAAGGTATTTCTAAGCAAAGCAGTTGCACCGATTGCTTCTCTTAACAACTGTCCTGGAGCCCTCGCGGGTCCCAGCAGCCCCGGGCAGTGAGGGCATGTCACATGCGTGACCCCGGAGGATTCTTAGAGCTCAGGTCCCGCTGGAGTCCATGTGCACACAGCCAAGGCACCCGGGGGAGAGGACGGCGGAGCCATCACTGAAGCAGGACGCGGACGGGCACCACTGACTGAGTGTCACCCCTCTGAGCAGGCTGGAGTCCCCCAAAGTTCATCCTGAGGCCCCGGCCCCCTGACACCACACAGTGGGACCCATCGCCATGCCAACCACAGGCCTGCTTTTCTCTGGCGAAGAGAGGCTGCCCTCCGAGAGGCACACGCCTGCCTCCCCCGCAGCACCACGTCTGCGTCCCACACCGTGCCTTCCTCCGGAGAGGGTGTCAACACAGATCCGCCTGGGCTGGAGGCTGCTGGCCCTTCAGGCACACACGGTCAGGGGCTCAGCTTCTAGGGGTTCAGCTTCGTTTCTCAGAAGGCCACGGGAGAGTCCTCCTGAGCAGACGCTTCCGTGAGAAGCCTTGACGCTGTGACTTCTCAATCGTCCTGCGATCTTACTGAAACGAAAAGGCCAAAGCCATCGCTTGGGAGAGGAGCCATCCCATCCTCGGCATTGACACCGATTGGCTGTCAGCACATGGACTCGCCACCCGGCTCTCATTTCCCCCTCCCCCCACTGCTCCCTCCCTCCCTCCCTCCGTGGGCAGCCTCCCCACCCCACACTGTGGGTGGCAGACCCTCGGAGACACGCGGGCTCCTGCATCCTCTCCCTCCTCGGTAGGGGCTGGGCCGGGAGATTAATGCTGGGACGCTTCCTTTCTCTAAAAGAAAAATAGTTTGATAGCATATATTTTGAATATAGATGTTCTTATAGTCAGACTGGGGATCGGACTTCAATGTCGGCTCATATGTCTGTGTTGTTGCTGTGGTCTCCGTATCATGACTCTTCTGTCTTCATCCTCCTTTGGAAAAGATGGCCTTCAGAAACGTGTATCGTACGGACGTGCCGGACGTGCCGGACGTGCCGGACGTGAGTTCCGTGGTTGTCTCTCTGTAAAGACTCTCCGTCCCACACAGACGCAGGTCACATGCTGCCCCGAAACCCTCCCCAGCGTGCTGTGTCTGCCGTGTTATCCTGACCGTGGGGTCTCTGTTTGCGACTGCATTTACTCTGTCAATGTGTGTGTGTACATAGGAAGATGCCTGTTTGTAAACTTTATATATAATATATGTGATCGGAGATGCATATGTTATATATACATATGTGGATGTATGACTTATTTTTCCTTATCAACAGAATTCAGCTACCGTGTATATATAAATAAACTTATTTTATTAGCCAGAGGATTCAGTTGCTAATACATTTTGTATTCTTTTCATTTTAAAATAACTTTTAAGTCTTCTTTTAGTACCCACACCACCTACTATCCAGCTCTAGTTTTCATCTACTTTAACCATAGATTGGGTTTTGTGGGAATGATGAGCTAATAGGACTAGCCGTTTATTATTTGATAAGACAGATCCTTTAAAACGTGTTTGTGATTTCTCCAAAAGAGAATCACCCTTCCTCGGGTCTGGGAGGCACCGGTGTGAATGAGGGCACGGCCCGTCCTCCTTCTCCACCCCTCTCAGGACTCAGGGCTTTGTTGTCAGTATCAGAGGAAGCTGAAGTGAACCTGGCCGGCCGTGAGGGTTACGATTCTGTAGAGGGTCATCATACCCATCAGTCCCTGGTTTGAGCCCTTCCTTTAGCCTTGAGCCATACATCCTGGACTCACAAGGATGCAGCTCCTGGCAGCCCAGTCAGCGCCCCCTGTGTGAGGATGTTGTCATTGCAGTTGTTCGGGCACCCGCGGGCAGCCTTCTGGTGCATTAGCCAGGCAGAGCCCAGGACAGGGCCTGGGACGTAAGGTTCAGAGACGTGACACAGTATGGCCAAGCCCACACAGCGGGTGAGCTGTGGTTCTCTCAGGAAGAAGGAAACCAGGGAGAGACGTGAAGCTGCTGCCAGGATGAGGGGGGAGGAAGGAAGCAACAGGCTTGGTTTCTCTCCAGCCCCCGGGGCTGCCCCCGCCATGGCTGGTTCATGGCTGCTTCCCTCCTGAGTCACCTGGCGGGACCCTGGGCATAGTCCCACAGCCGCACACCAGCACCTGGAAGGATGTAGATAGAAAGCCCTGACATTGGCCCTGGGAATGCCTGCGTTGTTTAAACCCTGGTTCGGCCGCTTGTGATCTGAGCCTCAGTTTACTCCTCTGTGAAACGGGGCTGCTTGATGCCCGCCTTGCCCTCACTCAGTGAAACACACACTAGCCCAGAGGAGCCACCCCCACAGCTTGCAGGGATCCAGCCTCCGCCGCCACCAGCAGGAAAACCTGGGAGGTGGGGCACGTGACCCTGCAGAGAAGGTGCGAGGCCTCTGCACACGGCCCTGGGCGGCCGGCTCTCTTTCAGCTCCGTGAGCCATAGAAGCTCATGGAAAACAGCAGACACAGCAGCCCTGGGGACAGGGAGCTTCCAGAGAGGCCCGTGACCCGGCCACAGGGCCGCCGGGGCCGCACACCAAAAGCCACTGGACTCTCAGCCCGGCGGGCACAGAAGGCGATGAGCTCAATGCGGGTGCTGGTGGTGGATGCGCCCACCCGTGCCAGCGTGCCCGTCCAGAGGCACAGGGCGTCCTTCAGGGGGACACGGTCATCGTCCTCCTCCCTGGCGAGCCCCCCGGCCTCCAGGACCAGTGCCATGGGCGGCCTGGGTGCCCGCGTGACCCGCCGCGCCCTGGGCATCAGCAGCGTCTTTCTGCAGGGGCTGCGGAGCTCGGGCCTGGCCTCTGCGCCTGCTCCCGGCCTGGGGAGGGATCTGGACGCCGCCGAGGACCTGGGGGGCTGCCTGGTGGGGTACATGGCCCAGGTGCATGCCCTCGAGCAGGTGAGCCGGGAGCTGGAAGCCCAGCTGCGGAGGCACCTGGAGAGCAAGGCCGGGCGCGCTGAGCAGCAGGGCGCCCTCAGGGCCTCCTGGGCCAGCAGCTGCCAGCAGGTGAGTGCGGGCTGTGCCCACAAGCTTTGCGGAGGGCGGGACCCGCGGGCAGGAGGCTGGCGGCTGAGGCGGGACACAGAGGGCAGGAGGCAGGGGAGTAAGTGGTCGGAGGCCAGAGCACTGACCATGACCCCTCCTACTTTCATGCTAAAAACACTGGACGGGTAAGAACAGCAGTGAAGGAGGTGCCCAAGGGCCGGCCCACGAGCGTCCCTCTCCATCACAGTCTCCCGGGGTGCACAGCAGTGCTGGGCTGTGGCTCAGTCCCTGACCCCATGGTTCAGAGGAGGAGACGGAGGCACAGAGGGAAGGTCTTTGGCCATGACCATGCAGAGAGTAGGGGGTGGAGCTGAGAACTGGACCCGGAACTTTCTGGCTCCAAAGCTTGTGTTTGTGCCATTACCCCGGGCTGCCCCATAACCTGTGTGTTAAGAAAGGGTTTTTACAGCCGTGGTCAAACGGGATAGCATCGAATGGATGTAGCATTGAGAACAATGAGTGAGTGAAGGTGTGTTCTGGGCCCTTGTCCAATAGAAATATTGTAAATTAGCCACAAGGATAATTTACAAGTTCCTATTGTGTACAGTAAAAAAAAAAAAAAAAAAAAAAAAAAAAGTAAAAGGAAGCCGGTGAAGTTAGTTAATATTATTGGTAGTATGTCTTATTTAACTGAAGGTATTTTAAATGTGGTTTCACCCTGTGTTCGATGTAAGACAGTAAGGGGTCATTTGCCTTCACATGGGACTTTCGGCAGTGATGGCAGTGGCCTGTGTGCACACTGTCCCTCCTGGTGGCCCCTGGCCATGAGAGGCTAATGCGACTGGGTAGCTGATGTTTTTATTTCACTGCATTTAGTGACTTTGCATGGTCGCCTGTGGCTGGCGGCTGTCTGACGGACAGGGCAGGATGTGAAGCTTCCTCCGTCCTCGCTGCTTAGTCAGGACCTGCGCTCGGCGCTCCCTGCAGAGCTCTCAGCTGGTCCATCACCAGCCTGCAGCCCTGGCTCTAACACTGGGACTGCAGCCAGCACTGCACATCTCATTCGGCTCTTCGTGGGCGGCTGCCTTCACCCTCCCCACACACACCTGCCCTCCCAGTGCCGGCCTTGGGATTCCTGTGCTCCCTCAGCCTCTCACCCAGCCAGGAGCTGCCAGCTCAGACCCTGTGCACCCTGGGGCCCCGCACGCAGCCCCCAGAACAAGTTCACAGCTTTCGTTTGTGTGTGGCTGGGTGATACTGAGCAGACACACTCAGAGGCTCCCCCTGTGCCCCGCCTACCTCGCATGTCATCCCAGGATGCGTCCCCACGTCAGTCAGTGCCAGCTGACAGCACAGGACCCAGGACACACACTGTCCTCGCCGCTAGGCCCGGGCTGCTGTGCGTTCCCATCCAGCGGGGCTGAGGGAGAGCCGCTGGAGCAGCCTGGGCCTTGCAGCTGCTGAGTCTGAGGCCGCCCTTCCTCCTACACTCACTGCCGCAGCCCTGCTGCCAATCCCTGTGCCTCGTAAACCCCCAAGCGTCCCCGGCTGTGCCTGCATTTCTGCAGGGCAGTTCCTTGCACTCTGACGCCACAGACTCTTCACGAGCCTCTTGCCCATTGACCCAGCTGCCCACAGGGTGGCACTGAGGCTCAGTGCCCTCGGGGTGGCCTCCCCTCCGTGGGTGGAAGCGGCCAGTCCGCAGGAACGGTGATGCCTGGCAGCTTATCCACTCTCAAAAAGGACGTGGCATGTCGGTCCAGCGGCTGAGGGGCCAGGCAGGGCCCCAAATAGTGGGGCAGGCCCCCCCAGATGCTGACGAGGGTTGCACTGAGTATCCCTGCACCTGAGGGAGTACGAGATTAAATAGCAGAATTACCCTGAGGAAAAAAAAAACATGGAAAATAGGATAAAGCTTTCCCTTTTAATAGTCTTAAAGCCATCTTTCTTTTCTCTCTGTTTTTGTTTTTTTTTTTTTAACAAGGAGCTCCGCCTTTTTATTTTTCACAATAAACGGAGTAAACTGAGGCTCAGATCACAAGACAAAGCAGCCCTGGGGACAGGGAGCTTCCTGAGAGGCCTGTGACCACGCCCCCAGGCCTTCACCGCACCATTGTCTGTGTCCGTGGGTTATGCCAGTGGTCAGCAAACTGCGGCTCCCGAGCCACATGCGGCTCTTTGGCCCCTTGAGTGCGGCTCTTCCACAAAATACCACGTGTGGGCGCGCACTTACAGTGCGCTTGAAACTTCGTGGCCCATGCGCAGAAGTCGGTTTTCGACTCTCCAAAGAAATTTCAGTTGTTGTGCTGTTGATAGTTGGCTCTGTTGACTGTTGAGTTTGCCGACCACCGGGTTATGCGAATAGGAATGGCATTGTTGCTATGAGTTTTGCGGTTCTCACCACAAAATGCCTAGCTATCCGAGGTCAGTGCGTGCCCCTCCCCGCTCCCAGCAAGTCCCCGCGCTCCGAAGGAAGCCAGCCAGACGGACAAATGCAGGCAGAGCCTGGCGGCTACAGCTTCAAACAGGACCCTTGGGCTCAGGGGCAGAGGGCGCCTGTAAAATCCTGCTCCCTGAATATTTCAGAAGTGGAACAGCGGGAACAAGCCAGCGATCCGGTAGCTAGATGACACACAGACTCTCCGCTTCTTAAGAAAAGAACAAGGAGGCTGGGAACTAGTGGATGTATTTTTATTGATGAGAGAGAGAGAGAGAAAGAGAGAAAGAGAGAGAGAGAGAGAGAGAGAGAGAGAGAGAGAGAGAGAGAGAGAGAGAGAGAGAGAGAGAGAAACATCCATGATGAGTAGAGGGTCTCCTGCACGCCCCCTACTGGGGATCAAACCCTCAACCCTGGCATATGCCCAGGCCTTGCATCGAAAGGCCGACGTCTTGATTCATGGGTCTATGCTTAACCACTGGGCCACGCTGGCTGGGCAGCACGAATATATATTTTTGAGTAAAATGGCAGCTGCAGAAAATGGCAGCTACTCTTCGTGTTAGAAAGGAGGCCGGCGGGCGATTCTCTGTAGCAGGGCGAGGGGCGGCCAGCTGGCTGCCAGTGAGAGGCTGGAGGCCGGGGACTAGTGTATATATTTTTATTGGTTTCAGAGAGAGGAAGGGAGAGAGAGAGAGAGAGAGCCTGTGTGTCATTTAGCTACTGGACCTCCGGCAGCAGCAGGCTGGCTTGGGGCTGTATATCTTTGTGACACTGTTAGTATGTTTTATCTTTACATAATAATTTTTTTTTAAAAAAGAGAAGTAATAAGTAAAATTCCTGCCAGCAACTTGTGACAGCGGAGGTCAGGGCTGGGGTTCCAGCCAGGCCCAGGGAGGCACAGCCCCGCAGCCTCACAGAGGCATCAATGCTGACGGTCCACACAAAAGAGAACAGGGGAGACCTACTGAGCGACACCCCCAGAGCTAAATTAGAACGGAGCCCGGGCAGCTGTGCCAGCGTGGGGGGCCGGGCCCGGCGTGGGGGGCCGGGCCCGGCGTGGGGGGCCGGGCCCGGCGTGGGGGGCCGGGGCCAGCGTGGGGGGCCGGTACAGTGTGGCGGCCGCTGGCTGGGGACCCAGGGAATCATTGAAAGAACCGCTGACCCCGCAGAACGGCCGCTGCCGCGTTCCCCGGAGTCTGTGCAGCCGCCGGAGTGGAGGACTCAATTTAGGAAAATGAAGCAGTTTATCGTGTGGCGGCCGCGGAAGCGCAGACAGACCCATTCATCTGGTTGTAAACGAGCCCGTGGCCTGACGGTGGCAAAAGCATTCATTATTCAGCAGAAAGGACAAGTGGTTTCAGCTGATGTCTGCAGAGGAAAAGGGTGCGGGTGGAAGGAGACGATGGGAGGGAGCGGGGAGGAGAGAGGGGGGATTCCACCCCAAAGCTGACCTGCTGTTGGAGAACAACGGCTCATTTGTATGCGTTTATTTCAAGGGCCAGAGAGCGTCAAAATAAGTCTCAGGGGAAATGCGGCAACACGGAGAAAGGAAGTTAGACTCAGGGCCAAGTTATTCAGGCAGCGAGTACCTGCCTGACTCCCAACTGCCCACACCTGCCAGCCCAGCCCCTCCTCAGCAGCTGCCCGGAGCCTGGGGCATCATCCCGGCCTGGAACTGAGGCATCTCCACCCCCAGGTAAGAGCCCACTCCTTCGCTGCTCCCAGCTGGCTCGGAGCAGGAAGGCTATCTGACAAATGGATTTATTTATTATAAACGTATGAGAGCCTGGTGTGTTTAGCTGCATAATGAAGGTGAAGGCAGCTTTCTCGCCGCTGTGGGGAAGGAGGAGGAAATGAGACAGAAGGTGCAGCTCCTGGGGCCCCCAAAATAGAGTCGGGGTCCCCAGGGCAGCGTCTGCACCCCCAGGCAAGCTCCACCCGGTGCTGACCCTGGTGGGCAGCCCGGGGCAGGCTCCTGAGTGACCAGGTTGTTGGCCCAGATCTCAGCCTCCCCCTGGAGAAGCACAAAGGCCCTGGGGTTCTCTCGGTTCCACCCCCCCCCAATGTCCCCGAGCAAGACTGTCCTTAGATGATAAGACTCTAGACACAGCCGCCCACGTTTTCCCTGCGGCCGGCAGGCCTCAGGGGTCGGCGTGTCCCCGGGAAGGTGGTCATGCCCGGCCTGGGACTGCGGGGCGGCTGTGGTAACAGAGTCAGGCCCAGTGGCTCCAACAACGGAAACTCATGTGCTCACAGCCCCGGAGGCCGGGGGTGGAGACTGAGACGCCCAGGGCTGTTTCTGCCGAGGCCCCTCTTTGGGCTTAGATGGCTGGCTTCCCCCTGTGACTTCACATTTCTTCCCTTTTGGCATCTGGGTCCAAATGTCCTCCTCCTCTTAGGTGAGTACGAGCACCCTGTGGCATCATTTTTTACTGAGTTACCTCTGTCAGGGCCCTGTCTCCACACACAGTCACATCCAGTGGTGCTGGGGATAGGACTTCAACATAGGGACCTGGGGGGGGGGGACCCAGTTCAGCCCATCACACCCACTTTATGGACGAAGAAACTGAGGCCCTCAGGGATC